TCAATAAGGCATATCCACCACCCTGTCCAGGCTTCAAACTCCAGATCTATGGCTCGCAGGGCTTTTGTGCTATCATACTGCCAACCAGCCCATACAGGGGCACACCAGAATTACCAATTTATGTCTTTATGGATAGTCATTTTTTTTTGGGGGGGGGGTAAAAAAGTGAGAAAGTAGACTCCCTGTTTAGTCTTATCAAAAGCTTTCCATCAAATTAGATCTTTCTCATAGGTTTGCGTGTACTATCCCACTAAAACCGGCTTCGGTATATTATTACGTTTGGTTGAAAATTATTTTTAAGCCTCTTCAATTAATCGCGGATGGATGTGCACTAAAAAAGATTCAACAATAAATAATGAATCTAAATATCGATCAACGCGGAACATGTACTGAAGTTCACACAGTGTCTCATTTAGCGAGAAACATTGTTTAAATTTATGTTACTTGAGCCGGTTAAATTACGACGACACAAGACTGAAGGACCTTATGAGAGGGTTAAGTGGTATTTTGACAAGACCCAGGATCATATGTTAAAGATAGCTTTGCTACTGAAAGATGACACGGAAGCTTCAAGTTAATCTTTCAGCCACGGATCTGCTCGACATAGAAAGACCAACCAGTTGTCTATCGATGAATTTACGTTGCTATAAAATAATAAAATCAGCATAAAAAGACCGTTGTATAAAAACAGTAAAATAGGCTCTTCAGAATGAAACTGATCCTTCCCACCGTGTATTCTCCCTGGGAAACACACTTTTATCTGCAAGAAGCTATAAATTTATTTGTGCCCGCATGGCTCCAGAAGAAATGCTTATACTTTGTGTAGTCTACCTTATCAGTATCATTCTTTGGCGGTAGAGATTTGCCTGTGATTTTCACATATCTAGTGGTTACTCCACGCCAAAGTAACAAATGGTATGCGTTCCATGTCCCTCAGAACTGAACACAAAAACTACACGTCTGTCTCAGAATGTACCTATATTAGTCTATTTCATCCGTTCATTATAATTATCAACATTTTTTAATGGAACTATTTTAGCACTTCCATAGACTTCAGGAAAAAGTACATACTCACCGTACACTTCGTTTTACCGGTCATAGCTTTGCACCATTCCAACGCGGGCATTGAACAGGCGCGGATGTTGTCCACGCGAGCCAGAGCGAAGCGTCGAGTAGAAGCACTTTCGTAGGTTGGGACAAGATAATTATGCAGTCTGGAAAGGGGATAAATGGATGCGTGTGTATGTGCGTGTTATATGCGGTTGTGGAGAGCTAACATGACGAACAGACCTGACTGCACCTCAGTGAATATAAGTATACACGCGAGAAACACGCATAAGTGAAAAATTAGCTCCCTAGTGTTGTCGTAAAAACAAATATCTTGAACAGCTTACTTGTAGTGGGCCAGTTGAAGTGCTAGCTGGATAAATGAGTCTGGGCTCATATTGACTGTTTTGGGAAATTCGCGGCCGTACTCTTTGTAGCGAAGGATATAAAGGTCCAAATTGTCGGCGATTCTGAGAAAATAGAGAAATCGTCAAAGGAATAGGAATATTAGAAAAGTATATGATGGAAGTGTTAAAAGAAGAATTTTGATAATTCGCTGAATAATGAGAATATCTCTATAATGCTGGCGGTAAATGTGGTTTAAAAAATGTCTATGTTCATTTGTCATCACTTAAAATGATTATTCTAATTAAACGGTTCACCATTTTGTTTTCAGTTAATATGATGTTGCAATTTTTCTCTTAGTAAACTAAACTTTGTGTCCAAAACCCCTTCTCATAACTAAATTTTTGTCGTTTTATTCGGGATCATTTATCAGTCGTGAAGGAAAATATTAGGAATTTTGCAGTATGAGTAACTGAGCTTGTGCATTACAAACTGGATAACGGAATTCAATTGTGTACGTTTACTTTGTGATCTCTCACGGGCGCTGGTTTCACACTTTATACCGACGCCTCCTGATGACACACAACCACGTGAGTTACAAGATCGCATTTTACGATTTGTGTATCGTCCAAAAAAGGAAAGGGGATAGATAACGGACAATTGATTTGAATAGCGTGCGATCCAAACTCCTAGACGTGCACAATAGACGAACATCAAATGAACAGAGTCAGGTGGGGTTGGTGTGAATTAGTCAGTTGTCTCGAGGATTTTGCTGTTTCAATCTCCCCCGGATTGTTTTAGTGCTTATTATGAACCGGGTACCGATCATACTTTGATGTGCACTCACATACTTTATCCAGAAAATTGTATGCATTCAGTCCGGTAGTTGTTTCAGTCAAATGGAAACATTTGGGTAAAGGCGATTCTGCCAAAACTGGTTAGAGAATTTGCAGGGAAACTATTGACAAGTTGTCTGCCCGAGCTCTCCACAAATCATAAAATAAAGCTTAGTCACAGGAACTCGATCATTCAACACATGACCTTGAGCTGAGCGTGAAATTTGAAATGACGGGTCTACTGTTGTGCCATGAATAATGAAGGACAAAGTTTGGAAGTAGCCCAGAAAGGATTGGGAAACATAATTAACCTTTTAGCGAAAAAAACGCAAAGTTGCGTTTTGCGTTTCTCGCATCACAGAGAAACTCAATGCTTTTCCTACTACGACCAAAATGGACAAGAATCATAGATAGAAGGCATGCTCTAATATCACTTCACACAAGTTGTGCGTAATTTTTGGCCTTCTCTAGACTGGTTTTATTGGCAAAGGGTGGCCAAATTAATACGTAACTGTATCACTTGTATGTTAGGAATAACCGTCGATCATTTTCCTGTACAGTTCAAACGTGAAATGAGTTCGAAGTTTCTGCAAGAAGTTGCGATGTATCTATTACCCTTACACGATTTGTAAATGTTAGGGTTTAGCAAAACGTAGGTCTTCAAACATCAACATAGAAGAGAGATGATACAAGGTACTTCTAAATGGTAATTTTTGATTTGATGATAAAACTATTATCTGTAGTTACGCAACCAGTACATAAAACCGTGGTTGCTTTTCATAAAAGATCTTGTACTGTGTTTTATTTGCTCCAAATAAACTCAAGTTAGTAGAGTAAGTAAAGTCCATCATGGAAATAATAAGAATCTTCAGATTATTTTCTCTCTCGCAATAAACTAAAAAGCTGTTATAAAATTTACGTCAGGAATTTTTCATTCTCAGCACTGAATTCAGTTTTGAAGTACACATGCTGTGACACGATATTTTTTAATTTGCACAGGAGACCGCAAACCAATAAATGGAATTTAAAAATTGAATGAGGTTTAAGTCAAGTCAAGTCAAGTGTCATGTATTCAATCTATATGGCGTTTTTGGAATTTACTTTCGAACCTCGTGGTCGAACACAACGTAAACTGCTCCCAAGGTTATTTCTTTTCGATTTATTGTATTTGCGTGTGGAAATTGGTTGTTGTTGTTTTTGCTGCTGTTGCTGTTGTTGGTGGGAGTGGTGGGAGTGGTGATGGTTTTAATTTTTCGTTGGATTACTTTCTTTGTTGTAAGTTAGAATTCAGAATTTTTGTTTCCGAGACCTCCAATTTTGGCGATATCTCAGTATGCCTTCACCTGATTAACTATCAGTTTTATAAAATGGGGAAATTATGCTTTTGAGCCCATAATTCATAGTGCACAGATTTTCGGTTTCCGTAACTGAACAGAGAGCAATTTGTTGCAACAGTAAACATTCTTCCTCTCACCCCTAAACTCAGTGAGTTGACTCCTACCACCCGAAATTCGATTTGAATCCAGGATCTGGGGAACGAGTGCTCTGTTGACATTCGTCTAAACCAGCTAATATTCAATGCAAATATTACTTCAAGATTTTGTGCTTTGACATACGGAAACACCAGGATGAGTTGACAATAACCTAAGAAAAACACGATCATTCTTGCTACAATATTTCGTTGCAACCCTACGCCTTTTTGAACCTTTACTGTCGCTCGGTATCCTCCTGATAGAAAAGAAATAGATTTTTACTGTTGGAAGTAAAACGGTCTGATGAAGCGAGACTTTCATATTTGCATGTGGTTTGATTCGCAAAAGTCACTTTCACCGAAACTACTAGCTGGACCAGCAGTGTAGAAAAAGCATAAAACGTTAGTTTCATTGACCGATTAAGGGCTATTTCATTTGTGCACCAATAAAGCGGGCGGGTGTACCGACATTGCAGATTTCATCCGTCAGTTATATCCCATAGGATCTGTAAAACTTTAACTTTTTCTGCATTCCCTGATTTATGATATAATTCACAGTGAGCAGTATCTCTGAATGAATGATACATTCACATTCCAAAGCCCTAAAGGGATGACACCATTTTACATGCGGAAACTTGTCGCCTACTGAAGAAGCGACGCTATTAAAGATTGGAGCCGCGACCTCACTATTCGGCGAGGAGCTATGCCTATTCGAATTCACCTCGATAATTAAATAGTTAAATAATTCCTCCTCACCGGTGAAGCTCAACCAATTCAGGGATAGTCAAAACCATACATTTTCAGTTTCATTATTGTTTGTACCTAAAATACGACAACAATGCACATGTCGAAAGCCTCCCGGTTCAGGTAATACCTGCTCTGAAACAAAGTCATTTCCCATTTCAAAACAGATTCGTCACCGAACTATTGTATTCGCAGTGTAGGTCAGTTGCTGACTGATCAAGACCAAGTGCCTGCGAAATATCTGCGCTGATGATATACTTTGTTCTGTAATGCACAGCAGCTCCTCAGCGACGAGCAGGGAGAAACGCGTTTCTTTTCCGATCTGCGAAATCTTTGATTTTCGCCGGTCCATAGACTCCCGAGTTCGAGCATCATTTAGGCTGATGGATTCGAATTGCCGATGAGATCCAATCAGGTAGAACCAGCTTTATCATGGGCCCAAAAGTTTCTATTCAGCCTGCGTTTCTTCTGTACAGGACGAAATTCACTATGAACTGGAATCAAATCCTCAACGGCTTCTTGCTTCATTGACAAAGATGATATATGCTGCTTTCAGTTTCATTTTGTATGACTCTGTAAATTTGACTCTACAAATATGGTGAAAAATGCTGAAAATTCACCCATTCGGGTGCTTAAAGCTACTACTAACTTGACCTGACTTGACTCATGTAAAATNTTTACTTTGTAGCGTTGCTGAAAATTCTAAGCAGATCTATGCAGTTGATCAAAGGTAATCTCTCAGGAGTGCTACAATGCGACCTTGTAAGACTAAGTGCGATTTATGGTTGGTTGGGAAAATCAAACTGACCGGCGTCGATTTCGAGCAAACAAAGAACTTTTCTTTTCGAGGGACAGACGAAAGACGGAAACTATTCTGCGTGCGTGCACGTGGATGACAGAATCCCCCTAGTTTGTCTTTATTCGACCGAATATTTTCATCTTAGTGAACTTTACCATCAGTACACACGCACACGTATACGGTTGCATTTCGTTCGTGACGGTGTATTATTTTGCCAGGGCGAAAATCTTCATTTTTGGCTACCGAGGGCGGGGGCGGGAGTGAACTAGTTGAC